ATCCCATAACTTGAAAGAACCTTTAAAACATAACAGATTAAAACAATTCAGTCATGAAAAAATCACATTTTGAATGATTCTAGTGAAATTTCCAGAGTAGAAAAAATTATAGAAATAGGAGGAAATTATCTGTTGCTATGGGCTAAAGAGCTGAGGATAAATAGTGGAAATGGGTCCAAGTTTTCTTGATGAATGATTAAAATGGCCTCCAAGTGATTGTTGAGATGGTTACAAAGCTCTTTGACTACATACTAACAACCACTGAATGATAGAACTTAAGTGGTGGTATATGGATTAGATCTCCATAAAACTGCTGATAAATAAGAAATAAAAATAGAAGGGAGAGGGGCCACAGAAAAGACTTGTGTAGTGTTTTGAATGTCCCTATCTACTTCTTTTCAAAGCATCCCAAGTCATTGGGAATGTGAGGGAAAGAGACCTCAACTCTCTTGCCTCACTGTAGCTCATACCCAGAACCTTTAGTTATGTTTATAAATGAAATTAACTTAAGTCAGGTTAACAAGAGATGAGGCATGCAAGTTTTACTAACTTTGTATGTCTGTGGGAAATTTCCACAAGACAATGGAAAGTATGCCTTTATACTTTGTAAACAAAGGGTAATAAATCTTAGGGTAGAGACAAGACATAAGAGAATGGCTAAACAGGGGGAAACTGTGGAGATCAAATATGTGGAAGAATTCAATGAAGCAAGACTTGTCTGCAGTTCCCGCTGGCACCTGGCTCTGAGCTGATAAAACTATGGTCTGTAAAGAATGATTAATGACCTGTCATTAGGCAGAAGTGGGAAAAGCATAAAGTCACTCTGTGTTTGAATATCCTTCAGTCCAATAAACTTCAACGTTCTAAGAGGAAATGTTTTGGTTTCCTTCTGTTTCCAGGAGAAGATACGATCCAACAGTGCTAAGCCTGGGCTCTGGAGTCAGGATGACTAAGCCGGGTCAGGTAGGTTTCTGCATTGCTATATTCTCCCAGACAGTTTGGATCCTGGAATTTAGATATAGTATGAGGATTCTCACTTCAGCATGCATCAGACCTTCTAGGGGACTTCTTAAAATACATATTGCTGTGTTCCACTTGTAGAGTGTCTGAGGCAGTGGGATTGAGTGAGGCCAGAGAGTCTGCATCCTTAACAAGGTCCTTGGCAATAACCATGCTGCTGGTCCTCTAACCACAATAAGACTAATATTTAGTCCCAGAGGCCTGTGGACACATTTTGCAAATAGCACAGAAATCCATAGTTAAATTAATTATGCAGCTGGACATAAAATTACTCTATAAATATTTTATTTGCAAATTCCAAGTGTAGGTTTTTAAAAATTACTGCAGTTTTTGTTAAAAATGATAGGAAGGATTGAAGAATAGAGCTCAGAAGACCCAAGCCATATATTTCTAGTTCTAAGAATTGAGGTCAAGAAATTCTCAGTTTATAATTTCCTCATCTGTGAAAAAACAGACCTAGTAATGATCCCATGATATAGATCATGAAGTTATGAAAAAAAATACATGATAACTTACCTGAAAAGACATGGCAAATCCCCAATGCACTAAGCTTAAGTTCTGAATGCCTGTTTATTCTTGGAAACCATCCTCTGTGTGGCATCATGCAATTCCTTTATATACCTCCAAAATTTCTAGAATTTCCAGAGATACCACATGGGAATCTATACCCACAGGGTTAGGAGGGTAAATATGCTGATATTCACATATTTCAGGAAGTTTCACAAAGAACAAGATTGGGGAGGGAGTCACAAATAAGTCCTGGAAGCTGTTGAAAAACAAATGTTGGACAAAGAGGAAGAGTGCCCACAATGATTTGTACTGTCTCTGAGCTTTTTAAGAGCAGAATGCAGGGCACAAGCATCAAGATGACTAATAGGAGCAGAAAAACTTCTTACAAAGGCTCCTCAACCTTGGCTGCAGAGAAAAATTATGCGGGGGGCCTTAAAGGACAGCATCCATGAGCTTCTGACCCAACTGCTCTAAGAATGACTTGGCAGTTTTCAAAAACATCTCAGGTCATTTAAGGGCTGACAGGACTCAGGACAGTTGTGGACGTGCATTAGAAGCCAGAGAGGTCAATCTAAGCTGGGGTGACTCTAGTTGCCAGCACTGACCAATCAGTTCCATGGAGAAGTATAAAGAAAATGGAGCTGAGAGTAAAACCAAGGCTAACTAACATACCCACTCCTTCCCTTTATTCAGTGGCCATGAATGAGAGCAATTTAATATTCAGTATACTGAGAGCTTACTCCTCTGTGTGTGTGTGTGTGTGTGTGTGTGTGTGTGTGTGTGTGTGTGTGTGTGTGTGGTTATTCTCATGCATGCCTTCCTTTCTCCTTTAAAGCTACTTTATCTTCAGTCCAGCATGAATGTCATTTAGTAAATGTTTCATTTACTAGATTTATGATATGATATATTCTTGACTACACATCTCTTTTGAAACATACTTGTTAAGCATACATCCCTAACATCCCTAACAAAGCAGACAGGCCATTACAAAAATCCAGAACTGGACAAGGTGCAGAGAACATCTGACTATGGAGTGCCCAAACCCAACCAATGCATCTACAATACAATCCCGCCATCATGGGAAAGGGAGTGAAAAAATTACAAGAACCAGCACACCAGGACATCTGCTGTGAGATAGTGACTTCTGTATCTGATGATGAAATCTCAACAATGCTGTCCCCTAAACAAGAGTTGCCCAATGGTAACACCAGGTGTCATGCCAAAGTGAACGAAAGACATCTCTTAAGTTCCCCTCCCCTAGATGAAGACCTACAGGCAATTGATGGCTGCTGAGAGGGGAATCAGTCTTCCCTGGGGATGAACACCTATAGGCTATCAAACCTAAGTGGTCAGTTCTAAGCACAGGAGGGGCACTGACTGGACTCGACAAGCTGTAATAATAGTGAAAGAGGATGTCGAGAACTTGAGGGGAGTTGGAGGAGGAAGGGAGGGTAGAAATGATGTAAATCAGTACTCATGTATGAAATTCTCAAAAATAAACTTAAAAATAGTGCAAACACAAACCATTTGGAAAATTTGTTTTTCAGTGTAAACACCTGGGTCCCCTGCAAGGGCTACAATCAATCCATCATGTCTAGGACAGAACTAGATTTTAAAAAGATTCATGGGTTTTCAGATTCCATTAGTTAACAATTTGAAGATTTGAAGGAACTACATGGAAAGCAATGATAAGTAGTAGGAAATGCTAGGCACCTAAGGCCAAATGAGATTTCTCTGTGTGCCAATGTGTGTGGCTCTGCATCTCCATGTGTTTCTTGAGCTTTTTATTTTTATCTTTTTCTTCTGTTTGTTTGTCTGTTTTGATCTATTCTAGTTTGTTTTTTATCTAATTTTATTATCTTTTTTATTTTTTAGATTTTTTTGTATACTAATGAGAAAAGAGAAATAAACAGTGTAGATTTGTGTTGGATGGGGAAGTAGGGTGGATCTTGGGGGGGGGGACCACAATCAATATGTATTGTATTCTATCTATTGTCAATAAAAGTAAATGCAAATACAAATTTAAGAAGAGAGGCTCAAATGATTCAAAATACTAGGAAAATATATGCTATACCAATAAACAAAAAAGTCTCAAAATCATTAGCCATGAGATAAAAATACCCATATCAAACTGTCACTATATATCTATTTTAATGACCAAAATTTAAAAAGAAAGGGTGATTCTGGTAGTAGGGTGGTATAATAGTATACCAGGCAGCTTCTTTTAAAATTAAACATATTCTGACCTAACTATCTGGAAAATCCCGGTCATAAGTATTTACAAAAGTGAAATGAAGAAGAAATTGTTCATATAAAAATCTCTGTGCCTTTATAGAAACTTTATTTGTAAGTACTTATACATAATTATACATAATTTTTTGCATACTTGAAATGCCCCACACAAGCTTGGGATGGTATATTTGTAGAGGACATCCATCCTGTAGAATCCTTCTCAGCAATAAAAAGGGGTGAACTACTGGCACAGCTCAGATGACTCTCAAAAGCAAGGGTAACTGAAGAATGACTCCATTTATTTGAAAGTCTGGGACAGGCAAAACTGTAGGGAAAGAAAACAGACTGTTGGGTATCAGAATTGGGCACTGGAAAAGGTGGATGCAGAGGGATATAGGGAGATGCACTGTTGTCCCATCTGTTAGATAGCTTGATTTCAGTGCTGACTACAGGGCTGTGTGCTACACAGTTGAAAAGCTGACCTTTGATTTATACACGGTACATCAATGAAAACGAAAGTCGATGTAAAGCAAAATGGACCAATAGACAAAAACTAAGATTCACTTGCCTTTAACCCCTTGTATACTTAAGAGCAGAGCACACATATTCAAAGCTGATGGGATTAACTTGAGCAGCTAGGGCAGATGCTTAAGAACAGAGAGGATCCACAGCTGCCCTCTGCATGGACCAATAGCACTTCTACCTGCAAGTTAGGACATCTAACTGCAGACCTGAGAATTGATGCTACTGCTTCTACCCCAAATTCAAAGAGGGAAACCAGGCACCCAGGTTTGCAGGATCTAAATGGCTGTGTCCCTTTAACTCAACGATGTTTATATTTTGAAATCGTTACCTCGGTATATGAGTGAGTCTAGAAGGCAAAGCTGGAGATCTGATACAGGGTTTGCTAGTGAGAAGGAGAGTGGGTAGGAGGGGTGGGATGCAGGAAGATGAGGGATACACCTGGCAGAGAGGTCTTTCTAAGGTGTTTCTGATCAGAAGAGTGGAGCAGCTGGCCTGGGTTCTCTCTGTGAAGTGATTCCCCAGGGAGGTTTCCTTGATTTACATGTTCCTTGTATATTGCTAGAATTCCACCTTAAAACAAGCTGGACGCAAGCAAGGCCAATTTCTTAGCGTGGAAAAACTTTTGCTTGAGCAATGACACACTGCAGTTGGATTCACTTCTCCCACATCTGGGAACCACATGTTAGCGGCAGCTGTATAAAAGTCAGCCCAGAAAACTTAGGGTGACATTTTTTTGCCAAAAGCCAGGCAGTATGGACCTCACTCTTCTGTGGGTGCTTCTGCCACTGGTAACCACAGCCTGGGGCCAGTACGGGGACTACGGATACCCGTACCAGCAGTACCACGACTACAGTGATGATGGCTGGGTGAATCTGAACCGGCAAGGCTTCAGCTACCAATGTCCCCACGGGCAAGTGGTGGTAGCCGTGAGGAGCATCTTTAGCAAGAAGGAAGGCTCTGACAGACAATGGAACTATGCCTGCATGCCCACGCCCCAAAGCCTCGGGGAGCCCACGGAGTGCTGGTGGGAGGAGATCAACAGGGCTGGCATGGAATGGTAAGGGGCACCCAGGAAACTTGGGATGCAAACATCTGTCTGTGCTTGTACTCCAGGGGGAAGTTTGGTCCTCAAGTGCTAGCATTGCTCTTAGCCTGGGCATATCCTAAACTCATTGTTGCAAGCTCTCGTGGGCAGGGCTGCTAGATGACATTGTAAGATGAAAAACCAGGACAGAATATGTCCATGAAAGATAGACTTGCTTGTGGTCATTCTCCTTCAAAGCCATCCCTAGGCTTAGTTTGGCCTGTGGGCTGGATGTGTGGCACAGAATGTTTATCAAATTGAAAAAAAAAATCCTTAAGGAACTAACAGTTAAGTGAACATCACTGTTACATTGCAATGTTTTCCAAAAAATATGGCTCCAGAAGAGTCTGAAGAAAACAAACAATTGGACTCTGCACCAGTAGTCTGAGAAATGTGGATCCAGAGCAAGTGATTGGGTAGAAAGGACTGAGAAACAGAAGCAAGGAGAATGAAGTCAAATAGCTCTCCGCTGTTCTGAGGAAACAAGAGTTGTCGATTCTTAGTTCTAAGATTTCTCTGTGTATCTTTCTCCCTCTCCTCCCTTTCACTTCCCCTCTCTTGCAATTTAAAGTAGCTTCTATTGCCAGGATATAGTTTACCAGGATATAGGTTTTCAGGGGTGTTCTGCCCTCTGCCCTTTCCCCTAATCAGTGGAGTAGAATTGGTTCCAGCTTGTGCGTCTCTGTGTGACTTTTCTAGCCTGGTATTTGATCAGAAGCTGGTCTCAATAGCCAGTGATGGCTAAACCAGTCATTCCCAGCTGTCTGAATCCAGCCCTAACTCAGGGCTTTGGGAGAGGGTGGAGATGATTGACCCTAGAAGAGTCAGACTGAGGGAGGAGGTAAACCAGCTGGAAGGCTGCCATCTATGCTGTCTGCTCACTAGGAGCTCCTGCAAGGCACTGGTGGTATGGAGGGCTAAAAGGGCTCAACATGCAACCATAGTTGGTGACACTACCAGCCATCCTGGAGAAAATGGCACAGGCTAGTGAGGCAGCTGGACAGAAGAGGGCATCAGTAAGAACAGCCTCGTCTATTGAGAGCTTCCTTGAGCTCACGTCATACCAAGCAATTAATACAGTTACCTCATTTAATGCTTAAAACCAGCCTATAAGTTATGCTGTAGGTAGCTAAACTCTGGCTTAGAGATAGATAAGGTGGTTTTTTTTCTCAGCTAGAAAGGTAAGCTTTGGATCAAGGAAGTCTTAACTTTAAAGAACATAAGCTGACCAACAGCAGTGGGCCCCCCAAAGCCTGCTGTCTCCACCTCAGGCAGACTCTTATCAGCAGAGCCTGGGGCCCAGAACCACACTCAAGCTAGTTTGTCATCCTGAGAGAAGGTAGAATCTCCAAGACCCCAGCAGAAGCCCAGTCCTGGTGGGGAAGGTGTCAGTTGGTTTACCACTCCTCAGGAGAGGGCCTGCTGGCCTGAAGAGACAGCACCAGCAGGTGCAGACTGAGGAACTGCAAAGGCAGCCTGAGCAGTTCCCTAGGCCATCCCCATGCATCTCTCTGTCTCCACCAAACAGATTCAATGAACCGAAACCCCTCCAGACACATAGATGACTCAGAGACCAAGCTTGTCTTGAGGACAAACCATACTGTCTCTTAGCAGCCCAGCTCTGGCTTCAAGGGTGGAAATGACCTAGTTGCAACTATCTGCCCAATCCACCCACCCCAGGGGACCGTCATTACATGGTCCTCTTTTTAACCCCCTTGTTAGAGACACAGAAGAACAGCACTCCATGAATATTGCTCAACTCCTAATGGGAGAGCCCTGGGCTGAGTCAGAGCTGGGTTTTTTGTTCTGGTGCTAATGACAAAATGCAGTGTGATTTAGCCCCAGTGTCAGGGGTCTCTCCCTGCTGCCTCCTTTGGAGGGTGAACCCCCAGACTTTGTAATCTCAACATGTTCCAAGCTTCAGAGTGTGCATAGCTCTTGCTTGCAGTCCCTTGATTCCTGTGTTTATCCAGCTAAGGAGAAGCCAAATGGTGTCTTTGAAACTCTGAAACTCAGCCATTGGCAGCTGTTTTGCCATGAACTCCCAAACTATTTTAAAAGGAAACAAAAGTAAAAGAAAAGCTGATTTTTGTTTGCTTGACATTGACAGGCAAGGTGTCTCCCCTCCTCTTCCTCAGCACTTTGATGTTTGGAATCGGAAGGTTTTTGCTCTCCTCCTTCCACACTCCCCTGTCTCTTTCTCCCCATCTGGACCAATTACAGGGCCTGCCCATCAGCCCAGGATACAGCTGCCCCAGAATGGGTACCAATGACTCCCCAGGCTTTCTCCTAGATGATTATGATTTTGTGTTCAGACTCCAGTTTCAGTGTAAAATTTGGAAGGAAAGAAATTGTTCACAGGCTGGGGAGCAATTACATGTGGCCCTGCCCCCACCCCCTGCTGGCTGCAGGCTGTTCTGTTCTGTTCTGTTCTGGGGAGGAGCTGTTGGTGAGTTTTCTGCAATTTGACTGTCTTGAGTGGGTAAATTAGCTTTCACGTTTATTTTAAGAGGCAGGAGGGACAAACACAAACTTGACAAAACACAGGCTCTTCTGAAGAAAACTACCTAAAGCCATCTTTACTAGTGTTGTTCTCAGCTGAGCGTCTATGCTGAAAGCCACTGCTTTGAATAGGCATTCCAAAGCAGGGGGCCTGTTTTCCACCCCTGAAATTTCCAGGAGGCTTTGTCTCTTTCCCCATGACTATGTTTGCCTTGGGGGCAAGGGGAGGTGTCAGGTCTGTTCTCAGGGACTTTGGTAAGCATATACTGTGGGTTGCACAAGTCTTGTGTGGAGCAAGATGAATTATAGGCTTATGGCGGAAGGTTTTCTGATCCAGGATTCCTCACACCTCCCAGCTATACTGTCTCTTAGGTATTCAGTTCCTTCTGTGGGGGACAAGACAGGAGGATGAGAGAAGAGAGGAAAAATAAAAGGCATGATGCTTCTAGGAGAAGAAGACGGGAACTCTAAAATAAATCTGCATCTAAAACAAACATCTAGCACTTCAACATCCTATCTAAGGGCAGTCAATGATGATTTAGTGGATATGGAATTTGACGAAACTTATTTTGGATAAATCAGGTTTATGTGAAGTCAGTATATGGAGGAACAATGTTCTACATATTGTACCATGTCTACTCCCAATGCTTCAGAGAGTCTGTAAAGACTTTGAGACAAGGTGTCTCTGTGTAGCTTTGGAGCCTGTCATGGAACTCACTCTACAGACCAGTCTGGCCTCGAACTCACAGGGATGTGCCTGTCTGTGCCTCCCTAGTACTGGGACTAAAGGCATGCACCACCAACACCGGCTCCTGTAAAGATGTCTTTAAAGAATCTATCTCATTAGAGCTGAATTTTTGAATTATAATCAATGGCAATGCACACAACTGAAAGGAGAAGAAAGGGCGGCTATTCCACAGAGCTATGTCAGCATCAGGCTAAGTCTAAATCTAGACATTAGCCAGGAACTTTGCTTTCCACCTTGTGCTGTGCAGGGCAGAGCGATCGTCCCAGCTCATGGTCTTTACTATTTCAAATGCACAGCACTCACTTCCTTTAAACTAATGGCCTTCGTCCTGTATAACCTCAGTATGCTCTGTTTTCTGAATATACTTGCTGCTAGATCCATATTTCCTTATTAATTGTTTCCCTCATTAAATACAAGCTTTGTGAACTTAGGAACTTTGTCTTATTCACTTCTGTGTTCCCAGTGCCTACAATAATGCTAGCACAGAGTAGGGCCCCAGTAAACACATACCAAAATTCCTAATCAGTCTAGTTGGTGCTCGAGGCAGCCCGAATCCCAGACAGTATCTTCACTACCCTCAACGAAAAAAATTTCCCCCTAAAGGAAAACCATTTTGTTTATGTCTTTGATTTCTGGTATTTCCAAATTTATAAGACAGTGTCCAGCATTTCATTTTGGCTCACTGTATTGACCAACATGCAAGGTAGTCTTTGAAGTTTCCCAAAGAATCTCTAAAATAAGTACACAGCATGGTTGACACACATTGTTACCACAAAATGAACTCAATATTAAATTTATATTCTTCCATAATTTTGTTGCAGTAAACTAAAAGAGTTCATAGTAAACTCTTTGTTTCAAAGACATAAGAACTAAATGTTAAATAATATTGTGGCTTGAATCTTAGGTCAATAAAAGGACATTTCTAAGTTTATGATTGCTAATTTCATTTCTTAGTGTTTAGAAACATAATCAAGTTATGAGAGATAATACTGGGGAAGCTGGGTGAAGGACAGATGTGAATCTCATGCCATCTTTAAATCTAAACTTATTTCAGTGTGAAAAGTTGAAAAGAAAGAACCCAGGTTGGCTACTTGCAAACAATATAGCAGTATCCACGAACCCCAAAACTGGAAGGAGGTTTAAGGAGAATGTTGCTCCATAGGTTAGAAAGGAAAGCTCAGAGTCAAGCAACTGAAAAGTCACCATAATCATCACATTAAGTAAAAGTTGGATGACCCATGCTCTAATTGATGTGGTGTTGGTGCTTATAGTCGCTACCATTTGTGCATTCATTTGCCCATTCAGTGGTTGTTATTATAAACTTTGCTAGTCTGTGAGAATATGAAGATTAATACCACAAATCTGTGCTCTCAAGTTAGTCACAGTCCAATCTTATTTGGTCTCCAGGGTTGGGAACACTCAGTGGAAATAGATTTCTTGAGACGAATCACCCATAGTTGGTAAGTCACAAACCTGGAGTGGCAGGACATGTGGCCTTTTTGAGGGTATAATTCAGTTAGACTCTATTACACATACAACTTTAAGCATCTTAATAGATATTGAGGGGGCATTAGACCAACAGGTTAAAAAGTATTCTAATAACTGATAATTCCCCACCACTAATTCTGTTTGCTGTCCTTGCATAGAAACTTTCAGAATATAAGGACATCTCATGAAATAGTCTGGTTCTCTGAAAGAGCAGCCAGTGCTCTTAACCACTGAGCCATCTCTCCACCCCCCTGAGTTTTATCCCTACCCATTACCTTGTCATTACTTTACCACATCATGACATTGCCACCCCTGCCCAGTTTCCCATTTCTCCGCTCTTCTGCCATTGGTCCCACCCTGCTTCTTATTTACAGTCTCCACCATCAGAGCATCTGCCTGTCAATACCAGTACTCTAAGAAGGAGACCAGACTGAGTACAGAGCAGACGTTAATGAATACTTTCTGAAAGATTTAATGGACGCGCTAAAGTTCTGTGCACTGTGTTTTAAATGGCTAATGGTAACCAAAGAATTATTCCAGGAAAAACAGAATTAAAATCTAAAGCTTGGTTCTATGTTATAATTATCCACTTTGAGGAATGGAAAGAAATTTGGAAAAGTTGGAGAAGGCTGAGTCACATGGTCCCTACAAGGCAGAAAGTTGGCCACTGGTATAGAGTATGAGCAAAACTGCTCTTAGAGCATCTCAACCATAGGACTGGAGACAGGCTAATGGTCCTTAAAATCCATGTGTGTTTATGTATTTCCTTGAAGGCAGTAGGCATGGAAGTTTTGGTATATAAAAAAAAAAAAAGCCCAAGTTATACATCCTTTTCTACTGAGTGACTAGCTTGGCCATGCTCATTCAGACACCACTTCATGGAGTCCTCACTATAATGCTATAAATGAGCTTCCACAGAGCATGCTCAGGTCCAGGTGGGGAAGAGACTTCCCAGCTGCAGATTCCTCTGGATGAGGTCCTCCATGTCCTGTTATTTCTGTTTTACCATTGCAGATACAAGGGAATTTTTTTTTTTGTCTTTGCTACTAAGGTAATGGCCTTGAGATAAATCATTTCCAGCAGAGCTATTTTCCTCCGAGCACATCTGTGTCATAGAAAGAGCCATAGGCTCACGGCTTCCCTTCCTGAAAATTCCCAGTCTTAGGCAGATCAGAACTGATACTGCTCTTGTTTTTGAAGCTGAATTTGATTCTCAAAGAGATAATGAAAAGGAATGGAGGAGAGTCTCTGTAGCAGGGCATCAGACCCTCATGTGCCAGGGGAACTTTTCCTTGACATCTGCTGAGGACTCGGGGGTCAATGCCACACTTAGAGCCTTGGAGCTGATGATCTATTTTGCAGATCATTCAAAAGCAACAAGCCTGTGCTGCGAAGTGCACCAGAGTCTTGTCTTGTCATTGTACCACTAATTGTTTCTTTTTCTTGGTAGAGTTGGAATGTGCTGAACAATACAGAACCTTCCATCTCCCTCCCTCAGCCTTGTCAGTTGCCACTACCTCTTCTCACCTGCCTTGTACCTGAACCTGCAAGTCTGCAGCTATGCCTAATAGTCACATGGGCTTTGTTTTGTAAGAAACTATTGAAAAGGTGACTGAGAGTGTAAATGGTGCATGCAAGAATTGTGTAAAATGACACCATTTTGCACCTTCATCCCTCAACAAGGCTGCTCCTGAAGCAGAAGATAGAAACAGGAAAATGAACCATTGCTCCATTTTCCATAGGAACTACTCAGAGGGAGTTCCAGAGCCTTTCAAATACTCTAATGACAACCCTTTAGGGTTAAGTCTGCCTCTGATATCAGGAGACAACCGGTCAATGATTTGCTCATTCATTTTACTATCAGACATTTACTGGACAAGCCTCAGGCATTATGAGGAATACAAAATAAAGATTACATGACATTTTCCCATAAGGATTATATTGTCTACTTGGATGATAAGAGATGATAGAGTACAGAGTGGCCAAGGCATCCAATCTCAGTGAGCTTCATCCTAGGGGCACAACATGATACTTTATGGACACTCAACAAGGGAGCAGCTTTCACAAAGTAGACTCCTACTCGCTGTGTAGATGACATCAAAACATAACAACATAAGAGATTTATAAAGCATCCAAACACCAGCATCCTCAGACTTTTCTATGCCCTGTCTTATCTGGTTTTCAAATGACTACAAGTATATGCTATTATGCTCATTTTACAGAAAAAAAAATCTAGGTCATTAGATGGCTTGACAGCTGATCTATATGACTCAGCTAACAGTGGAGAAGCAGTCCAGAAGCATAGCCTATGACCACAGATGCTCGGTCATGCCCATCTTCACATTGTGAATACAAACCCCGACCAAGGTCCAGTTCTGGAAGGAACAAATTCCACACCAAACTCCCAACAGGTTCCCACTACCAAACTATGAAGACAATCCAGATGAAGTTGGGGAGGAGGATCACCTCAATTTGTTTACCTTTCTCCAAATGTTGTGGGAACTGGAGCATGTAGGGTGCAACTACTCTTCACAAGAAAGCATGATCTGAGGTGGTATGTGAAAATGGCCACAGGGCCACGGGGCTGGCTGTCAGAAGAGAGCCAAAGGGGAATTTGTGAAACTTGGATTGCCTTCAGAACTGGGCCTCTATAAGTCAACTTATCTCCCTATATTCGTTTTACTTAAGGGAACCTACTGCTGTGTGAGCTCTTTTCCTTGTAGGGATCTGAGTACACAAAACACAACGGTAGATAAAACCACACCCCAGATGCTTTAGAAGAAGGTGGTTGCTTAATAATGACAGGAAATCACATAGAGCGTCAATGTGCTCTGTCTTCTCTCCCTTTGAAGACCTTAGGGTTTGCTCATGACTTTTAAAGCTTGTACTGGTTTCCCCATGCCCATGTTGATGTAGAATTGAGATGGTTTAGACCCAACTGGAATACACACAATGCTACTTTTCCATCACACTCTGACAGTAGTAGTTCATGTCAAATGTAGAAGGCCAAAGTGACAATACTCTCAAGGTAAGAAAGGCTTGATAATCAAAAGCTGTTGGTCTCAATTTACATATTGGATTTCAATATTGATCTCATAGAGCTGAGTTGTCAACTCTAAACTTCTTGCCACTCTTGGGAAACGGGGTTAAACAAACATGCTGCCCACCTATCAATTCCTTTCTCATCACAGTGTACAGTAGTTGAAACAGAATAGTAATAAAGAATAAGTTGTTGAATGGATGAATGGGTAAAAGCATATATTTAAATATACATGTGCACAAAAAGCACACATAAACAATAAATGAATGAAAAGGACAGGTGTATGAGTTAATTTCCAGCAATGAAAAAGAAAATGACACTTAGATGCCCAGTGTTACAGTTCAACAAGGTCTCTCTCAGTAGTCAGCACAAGGAACTCATTATCCCCTTTTCATATTTTCTAGAAACTTAGTTTTATTTGGTAAATATGGTTAATCTGCCAGCCTTCAGACTACATACCATTGGCCATTGCTTCCTATTTCACACATGAGGGGATAGATGTGTGGTCTAGGTGCCTAGGAAATTGAAGGATACTTAAGTAGCTGAAGACCTGATTTGGAGGGGCTTGTACTATGGTTTGAATATATTCTCTAAAGCTTATATATTGTAAGCTTAATCCCTAAACTCATGTGTGGCTGGCATTTGAAAGTATATCTTTTGAAACGTGATAGGAAAAAGATAAGTATCCCCATGATGGAATAGTTATTCTGTAAGTAGGGAATCAGAGACACAAACTGGCACATTGCTCTGTCTTGATCTGGGATGCCCTTCACCATGTTATGATGCTATAAACAAGTCCTCACCAGATGCCAACGCCATGCTCTTGGACTTTCCCACCCTCAGAACCATGAACTAAACACAGCCCTACTCTTCCTCTGACAATCAATTATAACAACAGAAATCAGCATGGGGAAACTTAGCAAAGATCATGTTCTGCATAAGGTGAGGAAGCTCTGCAGCCAGTAATAAAGCATAGTCCCCATCCCAGAAGAAAGTGCCAAACCTTCTGGTGTGTGGTTAGGGGAAAGGGTGGGAAGAGGTAATGGAGACAGAACAAGGGGAGGAAGAGGTGCACTGCACTTCACTTAGGGGGATGCCTTAAAAATGAGAGGGATGGCTCCAAGACTACCAGCACAGGCAGATGAAAGTGAAACTTCCCTCCAACTAAGGACCAGAGTGGAGGAATAACCATGCTAGAGGAATCAGGAAAGGGGCCCTTTGAGGCAGTTTGAACTCAGTTGGCCTGTGGGGTTTCTGTGGGGATTTTTTCCATGCCCCTGGCCCATCTGTAGGCTCTGGGGGTGAAGTTAAGAGACCCACTTAGAAGGTGGTAGAGAGATTCCTGGATATGCAGAGAGAATGCTAGCTATGATCCTAGACTCCCCATTAGGTTCCCCTGGACAGTCACTGCATCTGTCTATACTTGTGTGCTGTGTAGGGAGACAGTGGAATGTTTATTTGAAGTTCAACAATTCATCATAATTCTTGTTTAAATGCAACTAAAATGACTTGTAGCATTCTCAATTGTAAAATTTATAACTATCCTTTCATCTGACTATACATTTATGGAGAGTCATCAGGAACAGGGTCTCCCAAACCACCTTCCACTGAAAGTTGCTGAGTCATGTGAGATGTTCTACTTTACAATATCTATCCTTTACATCAAATAGAATAACTTGTAGGGACATGGGTCAGTGAGGGAGTGTGTAACTGTGTCGGGAGGGTCTGAGGAAAGGGTCTGCATCCATCAGTAGCCAATGCTCTGTTCTCTTCAGGTACCAGACTTGCTCCAACAATGGACTAGTGGCCGGATTCCAGAGCCGCTACTTTGAGTCAGTGCTGGATCGGGAATGGCAATTTTACTGCTGTCGATACAGCAAGAGATGTCCATATTCCTGCTGGTGAGTCTGGGAACTAAACCTCATTCCTCACACATAGCTCCTGGGGGCTGTGGGAGCCTATGACTATCTATCTGGTCCTTCAAATAAGCCCACTATCATAAACCAACTTGATAAGCAGTAGCTAGAATATACAAGAGAATGAACAGCTGAAGAAGATTATCATAAGGGAAAAGGTCCTACAGGTTATCTAACCCAGTGTTCTCATACCTCTCTTCTGCCATAAGAAAGAAACAGAACAATGCAAGAAGTCAGTGACTGACTAGCATCACCCAGCAGCTGAAGGCTACAGACTCACATCCATGCCTTTTCTTCTGCTGTGCTGACTTCACCTCATATCCCTTCAGCACCTCTAGAAGTAACCAAGTCCCTAATGGGCCACAGTCTGATACAGACACAGAAAGCAAAACAGCAATAGCATCAACAACAAAATGATGCTGTTGTTTGCTGAGTCACCTGGCAGCCACAGCCCATGATGTCTTATTTCCTTGTCTCTCCCTGGGCTGAAGCCAGGTCCTCCTGACTTTGCTTCCAACTGTCTATGAGAGTACACATACATTTGTTTACCCTGAGAACTCACAACCGGTGTTAACAACACAACGCAGCACAAATGCTCTGGTCCGCAAACAATCCAGGCATTTAAACCTTCCACATTTGAGGCTTGCCTCACTCAAGTGGTCTGTCTTTCTACAGTCGGATGCCGGGGAGGACAGCCTTGAGTTTCTGTTTGTTCTCTGCAATCACAGTGCTACTCCACAGATGCCCCAGAGGTGCATGATGTCTCTAGAGACCCACAACTCCCAAAGCTGAGCACTTGTCTTGCAGTAATGGCAGTAAATTCACAGCTTAGCAGGCCGATGTCTGAAGCTGTATGATAGAACAGAAACCTCTAGATCCACCACACTGCTTCAGTAAAACACTTTTTACCCCACCACAGCAGGTGAGCGGGCATGCCAAGGGCTTCTGAGTCAGCCGAGGCAGATCCTGAATTGAAGACTAATGATCTGCATGCTATATTGGCCCCAAGGAATGCTGGTAAAGGCAAGGGGACTCTTTAGTTTCAGCCTCCTTGCTACTTTTCACTGCAGTCTCTTTCCTCTACTCCCCCTGTAACTACCCTGTCCTTGGAAAATCACTTTCACATCTCTGAAAACCTCAATGCACCACTGAAAAATGATGGCAATATTTATTTATTGTGTTTCCATAAGAAAAAAAAAACTGATGAAAACTAGAATTTGTTATCTTTCTATCTGGAAGGAAAACATACTTCCCTGTTTATGCAAAAGTGTATTAAGCACACCAGGAGTCTTCAAACTCCCCAAAGGCATCCATCCGTGGTCATGTTTCTCAGAACCCCTGAAATACTGTTTGAAATTCAAAGCACTGAAAGTCTTTGAGGTTGTGGTGAATCCTCACACTATGATCATTCCAGAGGCTTTTGTCAAAGGGTAGGTAATTCAGATACCAGTTTGAAAAGAGGATTCAGGTTCTAAAGCAGAGAAGGAGAATAGGAATGAACCAATCCTCTCTTCTTATCTATCATGAAAACGGCTCCTCTGACATTCAGAGAGCATCCTTTGCAGCAAGGCATTCAAAGCCAGTTGAAAGTGAATAATGTGTCTAAATGAGCAAGCAAAAACACTCATCAACCTAGTGACGTATTTACCACATTAACAAGATCCTTATGTTCGCAGTCTCCAAAGGAATACATCATACATGGTGTCAGTGAGTGTCCCAGAGGAGTGGCTGCATGGAGAATGCCAGAGGTTAGGCATTCTCAGGCAGCTGGAGACTCAGAAGTAGGTAGCCCCGACCATTTTACAGATGTCTCTGGGAAAGCACAGTTACATTCTGTTTAAATATGGTTGCCTCTCTCTGCCTAGACTTTGAGTATCTGGCACAAGAAAAATCATTAATCTTTGCATCCAATGTCTATCTAGCACAGTGCTTGAATCTTAGTCACTCCCCCTCGTGTGTGTGTGTGTGTGTGTGTGTGTGTGTGTGAGAGAGAGAGAGAGAGAGAGAGAGAGAGAGAGAGAGAGAGGCACAAGTTTCTTGTTTTCTTGCAGTGCTGGGGATCCAGCATTCTAGGCAAGTATTCCAGGGTGGTGCCGAATTCCCGGTCATAAGTGGTTTCTTAATATCTGTCAAGTGGTGTGCAGTTAAGTGATTCTGGAGGACATGCAGAAGAAGGTAATGTTTTTCAGAAAATAGATTGTTGTTTTCAACTAGATTTTTCTTTATTCTCCATCCCTACCCTCTCACTTCTGCCTTATAAGCTCTGTGCCCTTGGAGATCTTTGTAATAATGCATGCAAAGCCCTTTGAAAGAATTTTTATGTATTTTTCTGCGTGTGTTTTACTGTTTATGGATAAACATGTATTCAGATGCACATGTGTAGATGCAAAATAGCTCCTTGAGATGCAGCTCCTAAGGAGATATCACCTTGTTTTCAGAGAGAGTCTCTCCTTGGGACATGGATCTTGGTGTGTTTAGTCTAGACTGGCTGACCAATGGGCCTCCAGTATCCTCCTAACTTGGAATCCCCAGAGTTGGGATCCCTAGTGTGGGCCACTATGCTCAGATTTTGCCGTGGGTGCTGGAGAGCAAATGCAGATCCTCATGTTCCTGCAGTAACTTCTTTACTACTGATTTCTTTTCCCTGGTCCCAATGCTTTTGAATGACATCAAACATACAGCAGGCATTAACCTTTGTTCAATTAATGAAGGCTTTAGCCTTTCTAGTCTTATAGTGAGAGGGTTAAATGAAATGACAGGAACTTGTCATTGCCACTGACTATATTGACACAAAAATGGCCTGTTTTGAAGCAGAGTACCCTCCACTTTCCCAGCTGCAGGAGAGACCATCTAAGGGGCCTTTCAAGGGCAGACCCTATGTAGAGACACCCAGGAAGGTCCAGTGTGCCCTGCAGGAAACAGAACTTGTGAAAGGAGTTGGGTATGCAGAGGAAAGGGATGCATTGAGTCATTCTTACCCAGGAAGATGAAGAGTGATCTGGGACAGCCACATTTTCCCTCACAGTGAGAGCCTAGGGTCTCTGCCAGGACAAATAAGAGAGCCTGCAGTGTCTGCAGCCAGACAGTCATGGCTGCTGCCTGGGGTCCTGGACAAACAGAACAACGGGGCTTGGGCTTAGGGCCCAAGGCTTTCAGCCATCAGGCAGATAAATGCCTGGGGCTCACTGCCTTTAGAAAATTTGGCTGACAACAGAGGTTGAGAATGGATGGAAAGAAGGCTGGAACAAAGGAGAAAGCATAGAAATCTCCTCTAATCCCTGTCTCCTCAGGATTTCTGTATTGTGTGTCAGCACTTTGGCATTGATGCTTGAAGCCTATCCTGTTTACTTGGGTGCCAAAGCCTGATAAAGATAAATCTTTGGGTACCAAATTCTACTATTGATCTAATGATACCCCAGGCTACAGCTGTCATCTGGCTTGTTTCCCCACAAATATTACATGCCCTTTCTCTCTTTAGAAATGACTCCTCCAACTCTCCTTAGATAAGCACATCACTCAGAACCCTAAGAATTTAATGACTATGCAAAGGTAGTATAGGAACAGAGAGCCTTGGTTAATCAACAACTGTCAAAATGAGATGATTATCTGTTCTTGAATTGACAGAAACATTCAGGTTCCATAACATTTACCCCAAGCCTTGGTCTTCAGTGATCTTGCAGCCTGCATTCCTAACCCCCATCTCCTCATTCTCCCTCAGGTCCAGATATATCACCATTGGTCAGAACCACAGGGTAGGGGGAAGAGCATCACAAGTCAGTTATGAAGCAGACTCCACAAGTGACAGCTTCAACGTGATTGGATCTGCCTCAGACAGCACAGTGTCAGAACAGAGAATTCATGCAGTGGCCTAGGGAAGTGGTACTTTTTCCAAGGAGACCTCGGAGAAGTGGCAGAATGAGCGTGCACTAAACACTATAGAACACAGGGTATGACTCACTGCTCCAAGGGTGTCTAGACACTTCAGTGGGCTCTTTAAATTGCCTGACTCATGGTGTTATATTTTACCCTTCTAAATTGAATGAAGCACCAAGGTCATAAATTCTCACTTCTTCAGGATCTCAGCATACTGCTTGGCCCTTAATATAAAAGCTGTCAAAAGACTAACTGCACACTGCAAGCCCTTAAGAACAGTAATCACAGTGAAACTGACATTGACACAATGACTTTTAATAGTTGATTTATAAAAATCCCTTTCTTTGCATTCATTATTCTGCTTGATCCTTTTAACAGCCACACACAGTGAACTGACAACTATGTTCTACCACCCACAGTGAAGTGCTGGTGAGGCCCACATTGCAACCTTCTCTTACATCACTCTGACTTGAATTAAGTGTTAGAACTAGACACACAGAGGGATGGTCCTTTCATCCTACTTTGTCTTCGTGGTTGTTTTAAATATTTCATTTTAAGTGTGTGTGTGTGTGTGTGTGTGTGTGTGTGTGTGTGTGTGTGTGTGTATCCCCATACACACATACATGTAAGTAGGCACATCCTTAGATGTGGAATTATAGCAGATTGTAAGTCATCCTAGTAGTAGGCTCTTGGAATTGAACTTTGGTCCTCTTGAAGAACAGTGGGTGCCTGTAGCCTGGCCTTTTCTTATCATTCCTCCCTCTCTGCACCTGGATTCCAAGAGTTCAGCTCAGTGTTTAGTTGTGGGTGTTTGCTTCTGTTTCCATCAGCTACTAGATGAGGGCTCTATGATGGTGGATACATTAGTCATCAATCTCATTATCAGGGAAGGGCATTTAAGGTTGCCTTTTCACTGTTGCTCAGATTGTTAGTTGGGGTCAGTCTTGTAGGTCTCTGGACATTTCTCTAGAGTCAGTTTTCTCTTCAAACCTATAGTGGCTCCCTCCATTATGGTATCTCTTTTCTGACCTGAACAAGGGGTAGCTCATGAATCCCCAGCCTGATAGCTGGGAAACCAGCATTAGACTGACTCAGACACCCTGAATATGGGT